AATGGCTTAAAATCAAAGTATCTGAAGGTGGCTGTGCTATTAACATGAGATGAACTTTCTTGTGACCTATATGCATGCAAAGATTGACACCAGTACAGGATCAAAAGACCTTATGAAAGGCTACAGTACATGAGAGGAAATTGAAAATGTGTAGGTTGTCGATCTCAAGAGTGGCTTTTATTAGTTATTGTACATAATAAGTATTGTGTCAGAAATGAAAGGGATTAACTCTCACCCAAGGTACTGCACCTGAGCAAATATTGTCTTGCCTGGGTGAAATTTGTGCCAACACAAAGAAGACTTGGTATGAGGCTATGCACTGCTTAAGTCTCACTTAAGTCTTCAAAATGAGGATTATGCTGGATTTTAGTGGTACAAAAATACAAGGACAAATTTCATCCCTTATATTGCTACAGTGTATATCCCTGGGGCTTCTGGAGTAATGTAGAGTCTCACCAGGAGACATCAAAGCTGTTGGAAAGTGCTTTATCTGCAGACTGACCACTTTCCAGATTTGGGAAGTCTTCATGTCACTGAACTGAAGCTCTGAAAGGCTATTAGAGAGAAACTAAATAGATAAGTGAGTTTTAATGGCTGAATGTTTTATTCTCTGCTGTGTTTTCCAGTGGCTCAAATACTTTTGTCTATGTGAGCAAGCAGAAGAATATTTTGTGAGGTCAGTAGGTTTTTCTGTGAAACGCTGTAAATTTTGTAACAGCAGTTGACAGTTTGTTGTTGGAAGTATGAATAGAAAACTCAAAGTTTCAGAATAAAAGTAACAAATATTTTCAGGCCAGAAGAATAAAATTCTATATCTGGAGAGCTAAGGAAATATTTTTCATGCTGAATCTTTCTGTCTAGAATGCTTCCAGCAGATGTTACTCACCTTTTAAGCACACTCTTGCACCTGGGCCCAGTTTGCACACCTCTTGCTAAATATTTTCTAGTTTGTGGAAGAATGGTGAAATGGTTTCACAAGAATGCAGACCATTGACTTGACATCCGTTCCCATATTTAATTGCCTGTCTTTAGTGATAAAGCATACCTATGTAAGCTGGACTGTAACCACCAGAGGCAAAAGGAGTAGGATATAATCTTGTACATACACTATTTTCAGCAAAACATTTCCTAGTTTTTTTTTTTATTATTATTATTATTTTTTTTTGTGATTCCCATATTTATTATGTCTGTCCTTTATCCTGCCATAACATAGGCTGAGAGGCAAAGAAATGGGGAACCTCATGGTGTCTTTCTGTAAAACTGCCTCTCCTGTGTATTAACCTGTTTCCAGGGAGGTCTTGTAGTGATGCCTCTGTTTTTTCCATATATGTTCCAAGACATGGAGATCACTAATGGGGTGTGAGAGACTTTGGGACACTGTCATATGAAACTGTTCCTTCTGAGAGGATGTTTCTGCACTGACAATGGAATATTTTTGAGGAGCTTGCATCACCCCCACTACTCTCATTACAGCTTACACGTAATGAGAATGCTTCTCTTCCCTATCAAACTGATCCCGAGCCCTTCCTGCATGAGCCCTTACTAGAATTGCTGGTTAGTCTAAAACACAATTTTACACAGTATTGGTGTTTCCCCACCAATTTTTTTTCCTTAAATTCTTTGTAGCCCAAATATATTCTGATCTGATATTATTAGATTAATTTATTCTGTTTCTCTATTAATTTGATATTACACATATAATTAATAGTAAGCACTGTATTTTTTATCTTGCATTGGTATAGTGGTTGTGTTCTGAGCTGAAGGTGATTAGTGATCTGAGGAATGCAGGCCAATGTAGGTAAAATGATCACACATGAATAGAACTGCTCTGCATGCCAGGAACTGTATAATGCTTCTCTGGCATTTGAGGAGGCCATAGGGTGGTGATGAGCTCCTCTGTCCTTCATCTAATACTTGCCCAGTGTAAGAACACTGGAAAGCAGATCATTGTCCTCACAGAATCCTTGTGAAGTTGGCAATACTACTGTCACTATTCTGCAGATGAGGAAATTTTTGGCAGAAGAGAATCAAATGATATAACCAACACCCCTCTAACATACACCAGTGATCTATAGAGGCACGAATTCACTGTTGTATTTTTACCTTCTTCCCAAGTTTGGCAGAAGTCTTTGTATTCTTCTGGATTTCTGTTTTAGTCAGAATTGTTCTGTTATCTGCTCCAAATTAATTTCTGTGGCTTTCCATGATTTACCAAATCAAAATATTGGATTGCATTTGTGTCATGTTTACAATGCATATGGAGGAGAGGAGAAATCTCAGAGGAATTCGATCATGGATGTTCAAGCTTGCATTTGCATTGTTCTGTCACTGTGAGTAAGCACAGAGCAAGCAAGAACTTTTCTGTGCTAGGTGAATTTCTAGGGAGATTCAATAGTCAACAACAAAAAAATGGAAAGCAGGATGATTCTACCTTGGTATGTTTTTGATATATCAAGACAAAAGTAAAGAAATATAAATTTCTTTATTATTGGGGGAAAAATGCATTTAGATTTTTGGTTTGACCCACTTGATCCCACATTGAAGAAAAAGAGGAGAGACAGAAATCAAAAGTATTTCTGTCTTAATAATTTCTAGATAAACATCACCAGTGAGCTTACTAGTATGGCATTTTCAGTGGAAATACAGTATTTCAGCTGGACAAAATGCAAGAATGTTTTATCTTGTGGAATTTTGCACTCAGGAATGGAACAATCCTTCATACTGCCATGACTGCCTCAGCTCCTAATATGGATTTAGCAAGTAGCTCAAGAATACCCATCAAAACCTAAAAGATGCAGTTGCTATGGTGGTTTTTCAAAACCTTAAAGGGGTGTACCAAAAATATTAGAAAAAAATTAATTGCTGTAAAAAATGTTGGGTTCAAAACAGGAGGGATCCTGCATTTTCACAGACTTGCTAGCCTTTGTGTTGATTTCTCCCATAGCAGGTTCTGCCTTGAATACACTACTCAATTTGATTCTGTTGTGTTTTATGTGCACTGAGCCCAAGTAGAAGCCTTCTGTCATAATGTCAGTGCCATTTTGCTCTTAGAGATTGTAGCTTTCAGCTTGATACTTTCTTGTAATGACACTACCCTTATTCACCCTTGTTTTGATGCTCTTTTGATGTAAAGTGTGTTTTCTGAATGAATGGGTTTGCTCCTTGTTTATAATTCAAATTGCTGAAGCCTATTTTCACTGGATTTTCAATTATGCAGCATTTAATTCCAGAGTTCATTTTCTTTCAGAAGAATCCTCAGAAGGCTTTTAAATACCAGGGTACCACTTTTTGTTCAGGAAGTCTCTGAGTCACAAAGGATTGCAGGAGACTGTGCTGAGGAGGTAACACTGTGGGCTTACTCTGATATCACACTATTTCCTAAGTTTGTGTAATTGGTTAGTGATTGCAGGCATGATAGATATGTGGTCTCACCTGGTGCAGCTCCTTTATATCCCTATGCACACAAAATGTGTCTATGTCTTCATTCCTTGTGTCTTTTTTGGATCTCACTTTCTGCATTTCTTATTATATAACCAGAAATCACTTAAAAAAGGTAAACATTTAGGGTGATATCCTAGCAGAAGTCCCAGACTGTGGCTGTGTTGGTACACTGGGCAGGACCAGGAGCAGTGGCATTGATGATGCGTGGAATTTGGGTGTTAGCACACTCCGGGACAGGATTCTGCCCATGCCAGCCAGTGCTCTCTGCAGCTGGGCCAGAGATGGGTCAGGGCAGCAGCATGAGCCAGGGGCTCTTCCAAGCAGGCAGATATGGATGAGAACTCCTCTTTGGGGAATGAGCAGAAGGACAGAGTTTAGCCATATGGACATGGGCTGTGCCATAAAACTTGTGCGCAGGGGCAGGGAATTGGCCCTGAACTGCTGTATTTTCTATTCCAAGGCAGGCCTGTTGATTTTGTGCCACAGCGCCAGGCCCTAAGACAGAATGCATTTACAGCTCACTGTATACAGGACGTAATTTTAATGCTTGGCTCCTGCTGCAAAAAATGTCACAGTAAACTTCAAGAGGATTGTTTATGTCCCCAGAACCTTAAGCTGGAATAATGACTCTAATTTATTTATGCACATTTTGACAGCTTGTTATGTTTTATTCCGTAAAGCTAAATGTGGTCTCAACACCTTGTAGTTATTGCTACCAAGTAATGATGCCAGGGAGAGATAGGGATTTTTGTCTCTGAGCAGGGAAGATCTTAGCTTTAGAAGTTTTAAATTCTGTAAGGATTTAAAACTGCTGTCCTTGTGTCTGTCTGTGTGCTTGAGAATGTACAGTGAAACTGAGGGGTGATGTGTCTGCATAACTGAGTGGGAACAGATCGACTCTACATCAACACTGAATGCTTGAATAACCCAGAAACCAGTGACCTTCATGTGGGAGCTGTCACATTCAGCAAGAGATGGGGACTTCTCTGAGTAGAGACCTGTAAATGCTTGCTTGGTCTGCAATGTGACTCAGTTTGTTTTAGATCTTCTGAATGATACAGACTGGGTACCCCCTTAAGAGAAATTCAAATTCTTTCTCTATGGATGTCTGAAAGACAGACCCCCTTCTAGTCTGAAAGGGTTGTATAATTTCTGGGTGTGTTCTATGTATCCATAATATTTTCAGTGTCTAATATAATGCTTTAAGTTTGATAATATATTGACAGCCATTCAGGGTGTTCATAGGAGCACTGAATAATTTTGTAAAAAAATAGAATATGATATTAGTCTGTAGAAGGCTACTTTGATGAGGAGTTTAAATGAAAACAAAAAACCCCAGTAAAACCAGAACACTGGTCGCTGGATTCTGTATGATTTTGAGTTTCTGTTTCTGTTGTATACAGCAATATCTATACTATCAAAGAAAACTCTGAGGAGCATCCACAAGCACCACACTGTCTACAATTAAGTGTTGGAAGAGTCTCTGGCAGGCTTTAGACCTGGACCAACTAGATTTCTCAAATAATTTATAGATACCATTCAGGGATGAACTCCAACCCAGAACCCATGCTGAACAGGTACCATCTTGTCTTGGAGGTAAAGAGGATATGAATAGGAAATGTTGCAGAGAGTAGTTGTAATCCCAAAGAACTGTCCCTGGCTTGTTCAATTCTCTAGTGCAGGTACAGCTAATGCCAGCTTACTTCTATAGCATATACTTTGGGAAGCTGGGTTGAAATGGGGAAGGGGAGGAAGAGCATGTTTTACCTAATCCAAGATATGTGGGGATGACAGAAATCACATTAACATGGACTCTTAATTCCTTCCTGAATATATTCTGTTGGCTCTTAACAGTAGTAGCACACAAAAAATAGCATTCATGGTGGATCCCTGGAGTCTCAGTAGGGACAGCTGAGAGACAAAGCTGTATATATGTAATGATGGACTGAAAAGGAAAAGGTATCACTCTAAGGGGGAGCTCAAAGTGCAAGTGTTGGCTCATGTTCACTAACCTGGGTGACAGGGCAGACTGGTCATTGCCTTTGGGCTTTAGTCTGTGTTTTAATGCATTGTTTTTTTTATACTTTTTCTTAATGGACTAGTCCAACTGCACAGTTTCCAGGGCCAAGTTCATTTATGCTTCAGAAACAATAGGGGGATGTTACTCTGCTGCTGATACAGAGGCACTGATGAGAATGATCCTATTACCATTCAGTTACTAACTCCTTAATCAAAGCTTTAACTAGGTGTATAATCCAAGAGAAAGACCTGTGGCCACACTGGGATTCAGATGCAAAATCATTCACCATTAAATTCTAGTTGTAGAAATTTGGTTTTCTTACTCCTACCCTAAGGAAGTGATCAAAGTCAATCTGACAACTGACTGACTCTGCAGTCCAAGGAAGGAGATCTGCCTGAACATGGAGAGTGAGCTGAATTTCCACCTTTTTTGGGTTGGCATTTCGTATCAGGTTTGAATCTCATATTGTATATGTCTCTCAGGAATGGTGAGTTTATCAGAATGGCACTTGCATATAGTTCTGTAATCACTGTGACAGTTCCCTGGTCTCTAAAGTAATTTCCTGAAAAAATAATATGAAAATCACCAGTCTTAGTCGGTGATTTTTAAGTAATCAAATGCAGCTGAAAATATGATATACAAGAACTTGGGCCAAATCTTGTCTATAACCTTATGTCTGAGCTGTGTAGAGTATGGCATAGTCCACTGTCCTTTTTGTGAGAAGGTAGAAATGGGTTCCATTTCCTGAAATTGTTGCCATTCCTGTTGTTAACAGAGGCAGAACTCGGAGATCATTGAAGAGATGAGCCATTGGGAGTCTGATATAAGTTAAATTGTACCATCAGTGAAGTCTGCTGCTGTCATCCACAGGAATTTTCCATTGTGGTATTTTAGCCTTGGCTCCTAGACCTGGCCTAAAGTATCTGGGTTTTTTGTTCTGAAGTGGCTGGTCCTGATACATAGTGAAGAATGCAGAGCCTATATCTTGCTCTGGACTCTCTTTAATCTTGTAAAATACACATAGTTATTCTCTGTCCTGTCCTCTTTTTATACAGAAGACACTGTCAACAAGGAGTAGTTGATGGAGTTCCTGACAGCAGATGTTTCTTTTAGTTAGACTGCTATAAGGGTTTTTAATATACAAGCATAATTTTTTTTCTTGTCTGTGAATTCATGTAAAAATGACTTATGGAGCTGAGGCCTGGACTGCATTAGGAAGTTGCTGTGCTTTAAATTAATTCTCTCTACAATTCTTTCTACAGACCTTTGGATGTTTGGAAAGTCCAACCATCAAATGCTTTCCTGTTTTATATACTATGGACGAGAGTTCTCATCTTCATTCCAGCTCCAGAGAAATTGACCCATAGGATGAGGAGGTGGTTAGTTTTCTGTAACATAAACAACTACATTGTGGCAAACTTGAAATCTCATCTTCTTTTCTAACTTTCCTGTTAATTTTACAGCTAGACAGGTAAAATAGGCTGCTTTCTAGATACTCTTAGTCTTCAAATTGTGTTCATGGGTATTCTGAGCTACAGCCCACAATAGCTCTTAGCATTTTGCAGTGTATGGACAAATGGAAGTAGGAGATTGTGACTTTTTATGACTTTTATAAGGAGTTGGCATAAGGTTATACCGTTTAATTTGGGCTATATTTTGCTAGCTTTTGCACATATGGAATAGCATCTTTCTCTGCAATAATCATACCTATATAATTCTGTCAGAATCTGTCCTACCAGCTGGAGTGAGCTATTTCACACAGTATCTGATATTGTTTCCTTTTTATCTGCTGATGCAGAGAGCTTTGCTGTATATCCTGATATCCCATGGCTCCCCTTTTGGAGCTCTGTTCACACATCTTGTTTCCATCTGTACTCTTGAAGAGGCCTGCTAGGTGGAACATGTATCTGTCAAACACATGTCCATTCTGGACAGCAGCCCTTTACGGGTCACGCCTTGAAACATCGCTAATTTGATTTCAAAGGGAGGTATTACAAAATGCCTTTTGTGTTGCTAGGCCTCAGGAGAAGGACCTCAGTTGGACATAGTGAAACACTGCAACTGCTTTAGCAGTTCTGTTCCTTGTTGGAACAGATATAAGAATCAGTCACATCTTTGTCTTAGAGTGCTGCACCTCTTCAGAAGTCCCCTGATGTGAGAGGGGATGGCTGAATGTGTGTTAAAAGGTCCAGGGGACAGAATCTTAGTGATCCACAGCATCCATCAGATGCTCTTGAACAACCTCAGGAAATGAGTGGAAATCTGACTCTTGTTTGACTATCCTGAGTCCTGAGAATGGCACAGTGGGTGCAGAGGGTTGACGTACACATCTGTGCACTCCCTGGCAGTGCTTTGAAGATCTGTGTTGCAGCCTGTGGCTTTTTATGATGCAGTCATGTGCATTTTTAAGACTTAGAATTAGACACCTTTGTGCTTGAAGTTAAGCATGACTGTGACTCATTCAGCTGTCACTCTTACAGACTTGGTGTGAGAACCATATGGAAGGGAAGAAGTATCCCAGACCCAAGATGCAAGTTTATGGATTGCAAGACAGGAGGCCAAACACCGAAACAGTATCTAACAAAAGTGAGTACTTGGTAAAAATTTACACTTCTAATTGGTCAAATTTCCAACATAAATTAAACCATTTTCTTGAAGTAGTGGCTTTTCCTGTTGGTAAGCGATGAATCTTCCCCCACAGCTAATTCACTATTTTTAGTTAGCTACAGTCGCTCATTGGCTGCACAATCTCTGAGCACATTAGAGCCATAGTAGTAGTCTGTCTGGCATTTGTAAACAGGCAACACTTGGGACTTCATAATACTCTAACTCAGTGCACTAGTGTGCCAAAATAAAGGTCATTTCAATTTCATATTATGTCACACAGTTTTGAAGTGACATGTATTTAATGATTTTTCTCCAGTAAATGAATGATAGCAAGTATTAAACTAATATGCTTTGATGATATGTCCACAAAAAAGGCAAAATCTTTTCAAAAACATTAAACTAATATTTTACCAGGAAAAAACTCCACAACCCATAACAAAGATTCAAACTCCTACCCAAAGCTTCTGCAATGAAGAAAATCAGACTTCTTGGCCCTTTCCAGATGAGAGTTTGCACGAGTTTTGCTGTAATTTATTTATGTGTGTCCATCACTGCAGAGTGAGGCTAATCTTTTGATAGAGGTACAAGAGCACGAAGGTTGCAGTTTGAGCTTGTCATAGAAGCTGTATCACAAAGGTCATAACACTAAAGGAGTAGAAAAACCAGTCCTTATGTGTATGAAACCTACAATTGTGCATAGACATGTTTAAAGTCCTCATTTAGCAAAGCCTTCTTGTCTTCCAACTCTGCATAGTATTCCAGGTAGTTTCTCTCTGCCATCTTTCTAGCAGGCTATGGGCTCAAATAGGCACAAACTGGAGCACAGGAGGTGCTGTCAGAACATCAGGAAACAGTTTTCATGGTGAGTGTGGTCACTCACAGATTTTCCAGCCAGGCTGTGAAGCCTCCATCCTTGAGGTATTAAAAAACCATCTTGACATAGTACTGGGCAACTTGCTTCAGGTAGCCCTTCTTGAGCAAGTTGGTTGGGTCAGATGACTCCCAGAGATCCCTTCCCATGCCAACCATTCTATGACTGATTCTGTGGCTGCTTGATCTGGGCTGCTGACATCTTGTTATTCAAAGGCCTAAAGGCATTGAACAAAATCTGTTACCCAGTCTTGGTTTGGGAATGTTGCTTTTGGTGTTAGCAGTTGGTCATGTGCCACTTTTAAGAAACAGTTCCTTCAGCACCAAGAACTGTTTTGAATTTTGGTGGTGTAGCTTTTGAGTATGCAGGAGGAAAGGTTGTATTGAGGCTTCTTCTCCTAGGAGGAAGTGTGAAGATTCCAGGAAGTAGGATGAACATTAGTGAATGGCTGGTAGTGGGAACACTGGGGGTGTACACCTCACAGCAGTTTGTAACAAAGCTTTTATCAAATGGTGCTTGCACAAGTTGATTCTTAATATTCTGTGTTTAGTAGTCAGAGGATGAACTGTCTCTTGAGCTGGTCATACACCAAGTCATGTCTTCTGTTTGGTCACGACTACCATTGAAATAAAACTGATGATAAACTGTAAATCAAGAAGTCAGTACTGATTGCAAAATAAATTACCTGTGCCCTTGAACTCCTGTCTGACCTCACTGAGCAATAGGATTAGGAAGACTTCAGGGGAAATTTGTTATTAGGCTGCAATCCTAGGATGAGACAGCTAAATTAATCCAAATTAATTTCTTTTGGTGACACATTTTTCTGAATGGCACTTTAGGTACTCAAACTTCAAAAAGTCTGCAATGTTGCATACAGATAATAAAACTTCCCGTGTTTTTCAAGTGATCAATTGCTTTTTTGGGTCAGTGGTTATATGACATTATTTAATAGAGGACAGCTAAGTCCATATAAATAATAATTAAAAAAACAGAAAGAGATTGTGTACTTGCTGTGTTAAGTCCACTGGGCCAATGATGAAACTTAATAATACAACCATTCCTTACCACTCTTAATTGTTCTTACCACCTGTCCTAAAATGTTTTACTATCAATAATCATGACAAATATAATATGATATTCCTATTTTTCCAGTGCATGGGCATGAGCACTTACATGAGCTACAGTGATGATAATATTTGGCTTTAAAATTATTTTAATAAATTTTGAATTGTTTCTAGTCATATCAAATTCAATGCCAAAAGATAAACAAAACGGTTTCAGGAATACTTTTGATGCTGTGTTTAATGCATTCATAGTAATAGGAAACCAAAGTTGTTATCTTTTGAATGGAACTGAGAAATAGCTTAAGACAACAAAATACTATGTCTTTGTTACTTTTTGACTGATACGATCCTAAAAAAATTGGTAGTAGTCCTCTTTTGAGCAGAGATAGCAGGATAGTACTACACTTCTCTTCCTTTGCCATGATTTCTGCATAGGTGCACACAAAAATCATATCACTGGTTTTAATTGTCTCTGTTGTCTGTCAGGATAAGTTAAGCTTTGGATCCCGGTTTCCATTCCAGGTGCTGTCACGGTGCCCCTTGCTGGGAGCTGTGGCTGCTCAGCCCCGGCACTGGCACGGGGCAGGGCGAGGCCGGTGCCAGGGGTGTCAGAGCCAGTGCCAGTCTGGCACCCTGGGCTCCGGGAATGCCCCGGGACTGCAGCTGTGCTGCGGGACCCAACGCAGACGTGCCGTGATGCTTAAGGGCTGGCTGCACTGCCAGAGCATCGCGTCTCACGTTTCATTGGAGAATTGCATGCAGTCTTCGGGCCTTCATGACTCGTGTTTTATCCCAAGACACATATCCTTTTGAAAAGACATTTAAAAGGTTCTAATATGAATGTGGGTAGGAGTCTGTTCCTAGTACGAGAAAAATTTTTCAGACCTTGCATGCAAATTTTTGGAAAGAGGGAGCACACTGTTACATAAACTTGGAGCATGGAAATGTATGTTCTGTAAATGATGCATTTGTTCAAATGAGTGATCACAATCAAACAATGCATCTTAATTGTTTTCTTTTCTATAGAGTAATCTTGCAGTCCTACAGAAATAATATGAACACCATGAAAGCACTCTCTAAACTGTATTGTTGAAGTTTAAGCCTTTAATGAGAATATGTACAGACAGTTACTGTCATAAAATCAAAGCTATTGCTTCCACAATAACCATAACTTTGCCAAAAATTTAGAGATGCTAAATCTATACTAATGGCTTAAAATACTAATGGTGGAAAATGCTCTTAATTACTTGCTGGTAAAAATATGAGTCACTGGCAAAAAAGAAAAAGAGTAAATTATCTCTATTTTTACTTTTGACTTTTGCTGTTACATAGAACTACTACTGAGTTGGTGCTTTATTTTAAAAATTTGTTTTTTTGGAGGGGACTCCCCAAACTTTCTAGCTTGCATTAAATCTTTGTTTCCTTCTGTGTGCATCCTCTCCTCCTTAGTGGTTCTTATAATCTTTTAAATTCCA